CGCGTGCGTGCGTGCGCGCCCCTTCCCGCCGCCGTGCTCGCGCACGCACGGGATCGCGCGCCCCTTTCCTCCCTCAGTCGGCCCCAGAGGGTGTCGCCATGTCGGGGCCGCGGCGCCCCGTGCGTAACCGCAGGGGCTGCTCCCGCCCGCGGCGCCCGGCCCTGCACGACACCATCCGCGGGGCGCGGCGGAGACGAAAGGCCCCTCCCTGCCCTGCCGTCTTTCTTGATGCCGCTCGGCACCGCGCTGCCCGCGGGATCTGAGCCCCCGTCCCTGCTGGAAGAGCCGGTGCCCGCCCACCTGCTGGGATCCACGTTCCTCTCCGCTGAGTTTCGGCGTCACGTGGCTCTGATCCCCCTTTGCGGGCTGCTCCCGTTAAGCCCCGGGAAAGCTCCCACACGCTGGGCCGTAGCGGGGGAGGGAGGCCGTGGTGCGGGGGGACCGCGTGTGTGGAGCTGCGGTCCGACACGTGTGCTGTGCGGGATCGGCCCTGCGGGGCCCTGGCGCGTGCCAGGATGGGGGCTGAGGTCGCTGTGGGAGAGGAGGGCTCCCACGCAGGGCCGCGGCCTCAGAGCAGAGCTGAGCAACCTGACTGGCTGTGCCTGCATTTCTGCAGGACGTGAGAAGCTTGGGAGGTGCTGCAGGCCTGCAGGAGGAGTTGGAGGAGGGGAGCTGCTCCCTCGCCACCGGCCTGCTCGATGTTGGGGGAGCATCAAACTCCAGCACCGGGCGGGGGTGATGCGGGGAGAGTAGACGCAGACAAAGGTCCTTGTGGCAGGGGGAAGGAAGGAGGCTCTGTGTCAGACCAGGCCCCACCGAGGGGCCAGGCGCACGGGGATGAGTAAAGCATCTCGGTCCTATGATCCCACGATGAAACGCAGCCCGGACAGGTCTCTCCCCTCATGGGGCAGATGGAGAGTCCAGGATGTTATCCTTCAAGACAGCCACTGGGGATCCCGCGGCACAGCTCCCCGGAGCACATCCGTGCTGTGCGTTGGCTCCCATTACTCAGTCCACCACTCCACCCTTGGAGTTCAAGGAGAGCCTCAGGAAGCGACAGCATTCAGAAGGACTTTGGCCTTATTTAACTTGAGGCACCAGGACAGAGCCGAACGCTCCAGTCTGACACTTGTGTGCATTCCCTATACCAGCTGCATGCCGTGCGCAGCCACGTAACATTGTGCGTTGTTCTGCAGCCACCTCCCCTGCGCCGGGCAAGCTTACAGCTGGGGACAGGGCACAGAGCAGGTCTTTGGGGTGGATGTGACACCGGAGGCACTTCACGGACACCACTCTCAGCGGGGCACGGCACTCTTCCGTGCACATCTTTGCACCGTAGGGCAGAGAGGGGCCACGGGAGGCGCCTTCCGTAGCAGCGCCCGGCACAAGCCGGTGTCGAGCAGTATGATAGCGGGGGTATAACGTGGGACACTCGGACACGGCGAGGCCAGGCCCCGCTCCGAGGAGGAGCGACTCCCGCCCAGCCCCGGCCCGGTTCCCCGCGCCCACGTGGGCAGCAGAGCCGGCACCGCGGGAAAACGCGCTCCCGCCCCGCCTCTATTGGGCGCTTCCCGCCAGTGACGCCCGTGCCGCCCCGCCCCCCGCGCACCACGGGTGGGGCTGCTACCTCAGCCCTCGCCCTCTACAAAGATGGCGGCGAAGTCACGGCGCTCCTCAGTACTCAAGATGGCCGCCTCGCGTCGCTACAGCCGTCGCCCGCCAGGCGTTCCCCTTGGTGCGGCGCTGTGCCGGCGGCGAAGGGGTGCGCTCCCGGCGTGCCCTGCGCGGGGCGGGACGGCTCGGCGCGGTGGCTGCCGGAAGCTGTAGTGCGGGGCCGCCGGCGGTCACGTGTCGCGCCCGGCAGTGGCCGCGTTGGGAGCGGAGGCGCCAAGATGGCGGCGCTGCGGGGCGGAGCGGTGCTCCCCGCCGCCGGGGTTGGGGCCGGGGTCTGCGGCGCTTCGACCGGAGCCGCCTCGCGGGGACTGGCAGGCGGCGGCGCCTCTCGCCAGCCACCCCTGCGCGCCGGCAGCCCCCTGCAGGTAGGCGGCGGGCGGCGGCGGCAGCGGCCGCGCCGTGACACGTGGAGGCCGGGGCGGCTCCCGCGGCTGCAGCACCACGTGTGCCGGTTGCGGGCCCGCGGCGCGGGGCTGTGGCCGTCCCGCAGGGGCTGCCCCGGGGCGGGGGCTGTAGGGAGGGTCGTCCGGAGGGTCCCCGCGGCTCCCGGTGCCGGCGGTGTGCGGGCAGCGGGCGGGTGCTGCCGTCGGCGCGGGCTCTGCGCGGTGTCAGCGGCCTGGGGAAACAGCGGGGGGATGGAAGGACGGGGCCGGCGGATGTGTGGGGATCACCCGGGGGGTCGGGCATCGGGGGGCTGCGCGTCCCTGCCCTTCCCAGTTCGGTGCGGTGCCGCAGACCGCCCCTCGCGTCACTGTCTCCTGTCCCTCGGCTGTGCCTGCGATGCGGACTCCTGTCGAGATCCCTCGTCGCGCTCTCGTACCCCTGCCCTTCGCACCGTAATGCCCGTTTGGGACGGCGCTGCCTCTGCGCGGCGCCCCCTGACAGTCGCTGGAAGGGGCCATGCCCTCCGCCGGAGCTCCCCGCCCTGCCCGGGGCGCAGCCGGGGCACGCGTGTCCCTGCACAGCTCTGCGGGGCGAGCAGCTCGTGGGCACGTGCCCGTGGTGCCTGTGACTTTGGTACGTGGGAGAGCCCTACTGTGCACTTGGCCCTCGCTTTGGGGCTGTGGGCGTCCTATGCTTTCCCCACTGATGGTACTCGATGCGCACCCAGGCGCAGTGTGCTCAGGGCCCGTACCCATGCTTTTAACATCCTGTGACTTTAAAACCAACCATGGGACACAGCAGGGGCTCTGCTGGGAGCAGGCTGGGCGGGTTTGTGCCCCCGCCCCGACGCGAGGGTAGGAGGTGCCCGGCCCCAGGTGGATCAAAGAGAGTCCCCGGGGAACACGGGTGACTCAGGGCTGTGGGACTCCTGGCGAGGCAATGAGTCAAAGGAGTTGGGGAGCGTTGGGACATGGCCTTCTCATGGGCTGGAAAGGGCCCTGGGAGTGGGAGGGTTTGATTTCTCTTCACACAGTAGAAAGGACCCTGGGAATGTCACCAGTGGGCTGCATAATACTGACCTGTAGGTGTGTGGCTGGGGTTTGGCTGTGTTTTGGGGGAGGAAGGCTGCCTGGCAGCTCCCTGCCAGCTCTCCCAGGTCTCTGTCCTTGGGGCATTTATTGTCCCCAGCTGCGTTATCTCTGCCAAAGCCCATCTGTAAGCAGGAACCCAAACACTGTCTCGTGCCGGCAACACACCAATGCTGTGCCTCTGCTGCTGCTGAGGGCTGTGGTGCAGCCTTACCGCAATGTGCCAGGGGTCTGGGAAGAACAGAGGACCCAGGGTGCTGGGGATGAGCAGTGAGGAGCATTTTTGATGCTGGATCATGAGCACTGTGTGCTCAGAGCAGTGATGGTTCCAGTCCTGGCAGTGACAGCCGGATGCATCCCTGTTGCTGAGCCCTGCACATTTTGTAATGTTTTGGGCTTATCTGAAGCGCCGACAGCCAAAACCAAAGGAGCATGTGATGGTCTGTGGGCGCAGGAGGGAAGTGTGCATCTCCCCTGCCCACAAGCAGAGTGCTATCAGACAAATATGGAATGTGTTGGGCTTCATTTACTGTTCTTCACCAGTCCCAAAACTGCTGGGTGAGAGCTTCCAGTCCAGTGCTTGTGATGGCGGAAAGTGGTCCAGGATTGGTGGCACAGCACCTTGCGGGGCTTTGTGCATTGGGGTAGGGTGGGGTGGGGTGAACTGTCCCAGAAAGTGAGGGATTACGGTCTCTGTGGTGCCCTCTGACCTTCTTGCTCATTTGAAGGTGTGTGATGATGGTTTGTGGAGTGCTGATCCATTTTACCCCACTTCCTGTAGTGTTTCTCCTTTGAGGATGATGACCTGAACTTGTCGCTGGATACAGAAACCATTCCAGAGGCTGAGGAGATCCTGGGGACAATGCAGAACTACCTTGACTCCTCTGTCATCTCCATCATTGAGGACCTCTCCCTAAGTGAGGTGGGTCCTTGTGCATGGTGGTGGCCTTGGGCCACTGTGGGGCCCTGCTGCCCCATAGCTGTGCCTTAGTGCCCTCTGAGCTACCACCCGCTCTTCCTGCAGGGCAAGGCCTGCCTGGATGCACAGAATGAGCTGTCCCTGCTCACTGCCATCACGGAGATGCTGGACAGCACAGATGATGAGACCCTGTCCCCCTTCGACACCATTGTGGACACAGAGCTGCTGACCTCACTTCGGGAGCGGGAGAACCCCTCGGTGAGTGGTGGGGCCTCTTCTTCAACTTCAAATGCCTTTCTGAGCCTTCAGGTGTGATGTTTGGCAGGGTGGGGGATTCACAGGAGGCTCAGGAGCTCCGTGCCAATCTGCACAACCAGCCTGGGGTGAGGTGACAACATTGTTGGGAGCTCTGTACCTTCCATACATCATCCTCTATCCATCTTTCCACCAGTTCCAGAAGTTTCTCAGCCTATCCCGGCCAGTTCTTGAATGCAAGAACCCTGCCTTGGAGCAAGAGAGTCTCAAGGGTCTCTGGTCCCTCAGCAGTGGTGGCAGCGTAACTGAAGCTGGGAAGGTGAGCAGGGAGAGCTGGAGGAGTGGTTCTGGGGTGGCGATGCCCCCAGTGCAGCTGGGAGAGCGCGTCACTAAGTGGTGGGAGCTGATGTGAGCTCTGGTTTCCCCTTTCCAGACTGACATAGACTTGGCCTGGGACCGCATTGCTCACGGCCTGGAGGACCCACCACCACCAAAGAAGCAAACCTGCAGCACCCCGCGGGTGGAGAGGAAGCAGGGGCGGCCCCGTGCCCATGAGCAGCTCCCCCTGCAGCGTAGTGACGGGGAGGAGGAAGATGAGGAGGCTGCCTCCAGCCCAGAGCTGGACAGCAGCATGGAGGCTGCAGAGTTCTCCACGAATGTGCCCGAGGTGGTGGCAGAGGAGCATGAAGACCCCTGTGTCATCAACACAGGTGATGTGTCGCTGAGCGAGCTGGTAAAGTCCATGCATCCCTACTGCCTGCCCACCTTCACTGTGTGTGTGGACCCCGAGAGTGAGCCCATGGCCAAGGAGCTACTGAGCGGTCCTGTTGTGCTGGAGATCGTACCCAGGGAAGGTGAGAACATGGAGATCCCCGTGGTGCTGCAGCCCCTGGCCCCCGGCTTCCCTGACTTGGATCCCCAGCTACTGGGCACAGAGAGCAACGCAGAGTCAATCCCAGTGCACAGAGAGGAGCTGCCAGGAGATCCAGCACCTGAAACTGGAATGGAGGAGGAGGAGAAACCACCTGGGAAGGAGCCCTCATGTGCAGCACTGGACAGCAAGACCCCTGTGGAGACTGCAGTGAGCAGCAAGCGTGAGATCTGTGAGAAGGGACGTGGCCGAGAGAGAGCAAGGAAGAGTCGGAAAAAGAAAGTGGAGGAAGGTCCAAGTGAGGAGGGCCGACCTGGCAGAGACTGCATGGCACACCGGCTGCGCTCAGGCAGGTCACGGCGGGCAGCACGGCCCTCGCTGCAGGTCTCTGACTTCCTGGCACGGCAACTGGAGCAAGCACGGAAGGAGGGGCAGATGGAGCTGCATGCTGATCGGGCACCACAGCCACGTGGCCGCCCCCGGGGCACAGCAGGGGCCTCCCTGCCCATGAAGGAGCCCCCAGAGCTGCCAAAAGAGTTGGAGCCAGAAATGACAGACACAGTGGTGGAGAAGGGTGAGACTGCAGTGCCTGTGGAGAAAACCACGGAGGAGCCACTAGCAGGGAAGCAACCCAGCCTGGTGGAGCAGGAGGACAAAGGGGCTGAACAGCCAGTTGTTGTGATGCCGAAGCAGGATGTAGGCATGGAGCCAACCCAGAGTGTGCCCACAGCAGAGCCAAGTGAGACCCTGCCCAAGGAGGCCAAACCCAAGGCCCTGAGCCTGAGGGAGTATCGCATGCGCATGCAGCACCGCCAGTCCAGCATGGGCAGTGGGAAGGAGGGCAAGAAGCAAGCAGTCAGCAAGTGGCCCAGCGTCCCTGAGCCTCCCACTGAGCTGGCAGACATTCCCTGCCTGGTGGCACCTGCACGCCCACCCAGCGAAACAGCTAGGGCTCAGAAGAGCCTGGAGAAATCAGCCAGTTCCCCTGCTGGGCCGCCTCCTGCCAGCAAAGCACCTGCAGCTCCAGTTCCAGCGCCAGCTCCAGCACCTGCCTCAGCCCCACCACCTCCAGTGACACCAGTACCTTTTGTTGCACCTACTGTGCCCCCAGCTGCTGGGACAGCTCCCCCTGGGATGCCACCACCAGCCACTACTGGTGCTTATGCCGTGTATCCACCTGTGCCTTCCTGGCCCTGCTTTGGTCCGCAGCCCCTGGGCTGCCATGCTCTGCCCCCACCACCTGGCGCTGGACCCCCCGGCACTTTCCACATGGTGCCCAGCCTCCCCCCCCCCCCCCTGGCGTGGGGCCCCCCGCCCCCGCCCCCCCCCCCCCACCTTTCATCCCCGGTGGCCCCTACGGCCCCGTGGGCTGGGCCCCCCCATCCTACTGGCCAGGCATCCCCATTCCACCACCTCCAGTGCCTCCTATGGCATACGGTGATCCTGCACTGCAGGGTGCAGCAGTCTCTTCAGTCCCAGCTATTGGCCGCCCCAGCACGGCCCTCTTGCATGGGCAGTCTCCCCCCGCCTCAGAGCCGCCAGCTATCCCTGTGCAGCCATCTCCAGGCAGTGAGATGGGGACTGCAAGCAGCCAGGCCAGACCGGGGGTCAGCAGGGTATCAAATGCTAGGAGGCAGGCACGTTTGGTGGGGGAGAATTCCATCCCCAAGGGACCCTCGGCTCTGCCCCCCACCCAGCCACTAGTAACTCCATCAGGTGCTGCTGCCCAGCCCAGCGTGGTCCCTCCTGCAGCCCCAGCTCCAACTGAGGCTGCTCCCACCCAACCCTTGGAGGAGCCCCCTCCTGCAGCACCTGTCCAGCTCTCAAAGGCTGCCCCGGCTGTCATTCCTGCAGAGGTGTCAGCTGCTGCTGTCCCTGTTGGGGGGTCCCCTGGCACCTGCCTTACAGAGGAGCCTGTGGAGCCAGCCAAGACCCCACTGGAGCCACCCAGCCACAAGCCCATCACCCAGGCTCTAGCACCGCCACCAAAACCATGCCGGGAGAGCAGCAAGCTGCCCGCTGCACGGCCCTGGAGGCACCAACCACTCATCAGCCCTGCACAGCCCAGTGACAGCAACCAGGACATTGTGCAGGCCTTCATCAGTGAGATTGGTGAGTGGGGGTCTGCAGGGGCTGCTTCCAGCTGCTGATCTGCAGTGGGGTGGGTGGCAAAGCTGTGTCTGTGGGCTTGGCCAGTGTTTGGCAGTCTTGTAAATCCTCATTGCCTATAGCCTGGGCTTACTGGTGCCTAAACTGGACTGCAGAACTGTGCGCTCCCGTCCCTGCTGTGGGAGGCACTGAAGCTGCTGTAGCTTGAAGTGTGCCCAGGGGAAGAGGGTGGAGGCAAAACTGACCTGTGCTCTCTCGTGGTCCAGGGATCGAAGCTGCTGACTTGTCCAGCCTGCTGGAGCAGTTTGAGAAATCTGAAGGTGAGGATGCAGCACGTTGTCCCCTGTAGGGTCTTCCATGTCCCTGTGCTGCATGTGCTCCTAAAATGACAGTACCTTGTGTGGTTGCCTTGCCCAGGGGCTTCTCTGCCTTTGTTTCCTTTCTGTCCTGAGTCAGTTGTTTCGACATCTCTGGGGCAGCTGAGGAGATGATGGTGGGAAGAAAAAGTGGGGGAAGAAAAGGCAAAAGCTCTACAGAGGGCGGGGATGCCTTGAAACCTCTTCCTCATGTTCACAGTCTGTCTGCTGCCTTCCAGCTCTGCTCTCACCCACCCATTCTCTTTTCAGCCAAGAAGGAGGAGGCTCCTGTGCAGCCCCCTGAGGAAAGGCGGCCAGCGAGGAGTGCTGGGTGAGTACAGGGTTCTCCGTGTGCCTCAGCATGGAGCTCTGGGGCAGCCCTGGGCTGTTCAGTCCTGACAGACCGATGTAGGACTGGGATCTGCAAGGTCTGTCTTTGCAGCTCTTGGATATTGTGTGCCCCCTATTAAGGCAGCTTGGGTGGGTGCAAGTGTCCCTGAGAGCAGAATTTGGAGGCAGCTGCTTCTTACAGAGCTCCTTTCCCCTTCTCAGGTCGGAGCCCCAGCCAGAGAGGAAGCCCCCGGACAGCCTACAGGCCTCGGAGCTGGCCAACGTGGCAGGTGATGCCCAGGAGCAGGGAGGGGAGCACCTGGAGCCTTATCACGGGCTTTTGTGGGGCTGGGAGCTGCCTGGAGGGGAACCCAGGGCTTGAGGGGAGTTGGGAGCTTGGGTGAGGTCTCCAGCCAGGTGGACTGCAATGAGGGCGCTCCCCTCTTTTCTTCATCAGGATCCCCTTCCTAACATCTCTGTGCTACTCTTGCAGGGCTCACCCCCCCGGCGACCCCTCCCCACCAGCTCTGGAAGCCGCTGCCCACTGTCTCACTGCTGGCCAAGACCAAGTCACCTGCGTCGGCACCTCAGGAAGGGAGTCAGAGGACCACCAAGCTCACAAAAGCTAAACCCCTGTCCCAGAGCAAGCTCCAGGGGAGGAGCCCAGCACCTGGCAGTGCAGCCCCCAGCCACGTCTGCTCAGGTGACCATGACTACTGCATCCCACGCACAACACGCCTGGAGAACAGCAGCATTGCTGGCACACAGCACCCCGCCACTGAGAGCGGCTCCCGCTGGAATGTCAAACACCACCGGGACATCACCATCAAGCCCATCTCCTCCTTAACCAAACGGACGCTGGACCAGCCCAAGCCGGCCCCTGCCACTTCAGTGGGTCCCAGCCAGGAGTCCCCAGGGGCTGCCTGCCCAACCCCCCTGGATTATCGGACTAGCGTCCCCAGCAAGGCCGTCACCGGGGGTGACAGCCCCGCCACCTCAGTGCTCCTATCCCCGGCTGCGTCTCCCTGCCGGGACCAGGAGGTGTGGACCCCTAGCACCCAGCCTGGCCGTGTCGCTGCCAAGAAGTCCCTGCGCTGCTACCGGAGACCGCAGGACTCGCCCAGCCCCTCTGCGGGCAGCTGGAGGGCCGGCCGCAGCCGGGCCAGCCGCTCCTTCAGTTCCAGCTCGGATGGAGCCAGCGAGTCTTCGTCATCATCCTCATCCTCCCGGTCCCGGTCGCGGTCACTGTCCCCACCGCCCAAGCGGTGGCGAGGGTAAGTGGCAGAGTGGGGTCGGCTTGCTCTTTGGGTGTTGCCTGGTGGCTGATATTTTGTGAAGGTGTTTCCCTGTGGTCCCTCTGAAGGGGTGAGCAGCTAAGCAGTCAGAGGTCTGGCTGAGTCCCCCTCTGGACAAGGCCTCCTTGCCCCTCCTGGAGCCCCACCATGTGCTAGCACACACGTGAGCCCTTGGTTATGCCTTGGCTTTTGGGTGCTTTCTCTGGGATGAATGCAGGTGTTTGTACTGGTATAGCCCTAAATGTAGGAATGAGAAAAGCTGCAGGCACAGCGGGGAGCTGCTGGGGGTGGGCAGGGGAGCAATCCATCTGGGTTTGTTGTTCTGCTGCTTCCCTGCCACTCCTTATCGAGGCATCTGCGGGGTAACTTTCTTTGGAGCCTTTGTGCATCTGCGTGTTGCAAGAATGTGTCCCTGCCACTCAACCCAGCTGGGCTGGGACTCCCTCTGTCCTCTTTTCCTGAACACTGTACTGTCCAGTGTCCCCATGGGTGATGTCAGCCTGACCTGCTGTCCCCCAAAAGCTATGTGCCAGTCCCTGGGCTTGGGTCTTGGTTTTGTCAATGCCAGGGGCCAGATGTGGGCAGTGTGTGCGCCTTGCTGCTGACTGGAGGCTGCGCAGTTTGGCCCTGGAGGGTTTGGGGTGCTGCACCTTTGCTTGGAGGCCAGGGGCTGTGGGCAGTGAAGCCCATATGGGGTGAATGCCATGGCCCATGGTGTGTATGGTTGGAGGCACTCAGCTCTTGACTGGAGTGGCTGCTGGGTGCTATGCAGGTGCAGTGGCTCCGTTAGCGTTGTGTGCCATGTAGAGTTCAGTGCAGCAGCTCCACATTCTCTGGATCCTTACCTGGCTGCAGCCATGCTGAATGGTTCCCATATACCCATGTCTTGCTCTTCGGAGGTTGTGTGATGAGATCCTACTCCGTTTAGGCTGTGGGGTTTGGAGCTGCACCTTTATATTGCCTTTGTTCCCCATGGCAAACATGGGCAGATGTTTCCATAGCCAGCCTCACCCTGAGGATACTGATACGTCCTGTCCATGTGCCGTGCTGGGTGTTTTGGCAGAATGGAGCTCTTTTGCATCCCCAGAGCCTCGTGGTGCTGGACACAGGTGCTGAGTTTTCTCTTTTTCCCTCCAGGTACCGCTCGAGATGTTCTCACAGCTCGTCTTCCCGCTCCAGCTGCGGGTCATGTGGCAGGTCCCGAGACAGGTCCTCCTCTTCCTCCTCCTCATCCTCCTACTCCTCCCGGTCCCCGTCCCGCAGGCAGTCCCGCTCCCGTTCGCCCTCTCCCTGCAGGAGGAGTAACAGAAGGAGAAGGTGAGTATGGTCCCTTTCACAGAACACCTACTCCTTAGGTGTCTCCCTCGTGTCTTGCTCCTGAGATAACTCTCTTCCAACACCTTCCTTGACCCTACAGCTCACAAGTTTGTTTTCTGCTCTACAGATACAGTTACGATGCACAGGACCACTACCAAAGGCAGAGGATCCTCCAGAAGGAACGTGCAATAGTGAGTGGATTTAGGGATGTAGTTTAGTGGCTACAGTGGTGGTGGGTCAACGATTGTACTAGATGGTCTTAGAGGTCTTTTCCAGCATTGATGATTCTATGAACGCTGGATGTGTTGTGGGTCTGGGAAGCTGGATTTGGGGCTCCTTAGATCATCGTCTCACAGAAGGGTGCCCCTGCCCGCAGGAGGAGCGGCGAGTTGTGTTCATTGGCAAGATACCCAGCAGGATGACACGGTCGGAGCTGCGGCACCGCTTCTCAGTGTTTGGGGACATCGAGGAGTGCACCCTGCACTTCCGCTCCGAGGGGTAAGAGCTCTCCTTGGTCTTTCCCAGCTCCTCAAGAGGATGGTGTGACTGTGCCCATGCTCGTCTCCTTCTTGCTTCCAGGGATAACTACGGCTTTGTCACCTATCGCTATGCTGAGGAGGCCTTTGCTGCCATTGAGAGCGGGCACAAGCTGCGACGTCCGGATGAGCAGCCCTTTGATCTGTGCTTTGGTGGCCGCCGGCAGTTCTGCAGGAGGAACTATGCTGACCTGGGTGAGTTGCACCCTGGATCCCTTCCTTCCCACGTGCATTCGGTGGGTGGTTGGATCCCCCACTAGCCCCTTCCCCCCCTGCATTCTCTCCCAGCCCAGCACCGATTTTAGATGTGGCTCAGGGCAGGCTCTCCCCATATCTTTCAGACTCCAACCGAGAGGATTTCGATCCAGCCCCTGTGAAGAGCAAGTTCGACTCGCTGGACTTCGACACGCTGCTGCGGCAGGCACAGCGCAGCCTGCGGAGGTAGCAGCAAGCACGGCGGAGCGCCCGCCCCTGCTTTTATACTCAAATACAAAAGACAAAAAAAGTGTGGAGAGAAAGATGAGGTTTTTAAGAAAAAGAAAAAGGAAAAAAATTTGTTTTATAACCAGTATTTAAGGAGGACGGGCAGTTTCCCATCAATTGGAAGGGCCTAGGTGAGTGGCAGCCTCGGGCTTGCCGAGCCATGTAATAAATGTGGATGCCCAAACCCAGCTCTGCCTTGTCTCCTCCTTGGTGTGGCCCCTTGAGTGCTCAAGGTGGGCAGGAGGCTCCTTGGGTCTGGCCCTGGGACAGGGAAGGGTATAGATACCTTTTAACACCGTGCACTCCTTGGGTTTGGGATGTCTGGGAAGTGGGGCAGGATGGGGGCCGAGGCACTCCAGTCCCTGTGTTAGCCCCTAAATGGCCTAACGGGGTGAACAAGTTCTGTCTCTCGATCTCTGGCTATCTGTAGGTTTTGGGGCCACGTGCACCTCCCGTGGTGGCCACGCAGGGGCAGTGCAAGATCCCCATCCACAGCTGCTCCAATGGGATATGGGGGCTGCAGCCCTCCACTGTGGCAGCAGCACAGGGGACCACGTGTGCAAGGGTGGTAGTGTGTCCCTTTCCAGACTGCTGCTTGGTTATGCTCCCGTTTACTGGAAGAGGGGTTTGACACCTTGTCCCTTGAAGTAGAGGCTGCGACTGAAGAGAGGCTGCAGCCACCTGCACCCTACAGGGGATGGGGCTGATGGGCAGAGCACAAGATCACAAGATCCACCACTGTGTGCGTGGACCTCTGGGAAGTGCAGTGATTTTGGAGAGGCAAAGCCTTGCTTCTGTCTGCATCCTGGGTGGCATGAGCCCTGACTTAGCTCTGGGCAGGCGTCCTCCTGGTTCCCCAGGTATGTGAGGTGAGGCTCTGACGTGGTCTCCCACCCTGCCTGGCCCCGGACTTTGTCCAGGGAAGAAATTGAGGAGGTGGCTGCATGCAATGGGGTGTCAATGGGAATGCAGCTCTACAGAGCCCTTGGTTGGGCCTTTGCACCCTGCTGAGTGAGGTGCTCTGTGGACACAACTAGATGTGTGTAGCAGAGCCTTGTGTGCTAGTGGCCAGGAGGGAATTGGCCCCCATGGTTGCCAGGCATTCAGGCAGCCCCATGAGCACAGCATCACCGTGCATGTACATCTCTGGGCTGCATGTGGTCCCCTCTCCTTGCTCCTGTGGCTGAGGGAAAGCAGTGGGTGTGAAAGCGTTTGTGTTGCCAAAAGAATTAACACCCTGCTGTTGCGCCCTATAAATCTTTCAAGTGCTGGAGGCTGGCTTTATCCTCCTGTGTTGCAGTTTAATGGTTTCCGTTCGCAGTAACCTGGCCTTGTGTTCTGAGGTTATTGATTTAAAGTCTGCTGTGGAGGCTGTGAGAGCTGCAGAAAGGTGTTTTCCTGTCGCCCAGCTGGTGGCAAAGGCTCCTCAGACAAGGTTATTTGGGGCCTTGGGGGGGGGAGGGGTGTGTTGCCCAGGACCAAGTACCCACATCACCATGGGGGTGGGCAAGCTTGATAGGACCTGACTTGTGATGCTCAGCCTGAAAACACAGACACCAACCACACTGTGCAGAGCCCCCATGGTCTGCAATGGTTTCCTCCTCTAGGATCCCAGCCCTTGGGGTTCAGGCCGACTCCACTCCTCCAAGCTCAGAGGTCCCCTCGAGAACTGGGAGGGATGCTCATCCTGTTCTAAGGCTCCAGCATCTCTGCTGTCCTACACCACTCGCCCCAAATCTCCCCCTGGCCCTGGTGGACAGCCAGGAGTTGTGTGTGCTTTAAATCTGTGCAGCTGAGAGGTTCATTTCCATGCTCCCTCCTACAGCTGCTTTGCAGACACCTCGTGTCCTTTTGCTCACATTGGGATATTCTTCCAGGGCCATCCCGTAAGCAATTGTGTGTAAGGATGCAATGGATGTGTTGTAGGTGCCTCTAAATTGAATGTCTGCTCCAGCCAGTAACCAGGTATTGCTAATGCTTCTTGAGTCCTCCTATAGAAAAGTCTGCAGCTGTAATGTCCCAGGAAGCAAGTGGCCATCAGATCTACTCTCTGGTGGTAGCAAGGAATTTGTGAGAAAAATGGCATAGGATGTAGGAAATAGTCCCAAATTTGGAGAAGTATCAAAAAAAGAAGAAAAAAGGAAAACTCACAGAAAATGTAACTGCTGGGTTGTTTTTTTTGTTGGTTTTTTTTTTTGTTTTGTTTTGTTTTTTTGTGCTAAGCCTTATGTGAGCAGACCTCTGGGAAGGTAATGCTGGGAGCACTGGGGCATGAGGTCCAGCACTGGTCTCTAGTGCTTCAGAAGAAGGAAGGAATACCTCAGCACTCTTAGAAGCTAGTTAAGAAGGAAATGATTATTTCTTTATCTTCACATAGACCAGCAGAAGCCTGGAGGCCTGGGGCTGAAGCAGCACCTCCTTCAGGACACCTGGCCAGCCAGGAGCTGCAGCACAGTCTGTGTGCCTGTCAGCTGGGGCTGGTCTGTCTCAGTATCCATGCAGCTCGCAGCCTTTGTGTGCAGTGGAGCTCATCCTTTCTGGATGCAGAGCTGTAAGGATATTCTGGAAGAAGTCTCCTAAAGCCTCACGCAGTGACGGTGATGTTTCTGTCTCTGCTAAAAATAACTTGTCTGATGCATCTGAGCATCACGCCATTCTTTTTTCACAGGAGAACCACACTGCTGTTTTGCATTTATCCTGCAGTATTTCCATTTCTTCAGTTTCCAGCAAACGTCCTCCCTCATTGATATTTTGCTGAGTTTTGCTCCCTGTGTCCCCACTGAGTGACGGTAAAACCCATTGCTGGGCTCTGACCATGGCTGGTTCCCCTCCCCAGCATGCTCTGTGTGTTGCTGGATGCCCACTCCTCTCTGCAGGGCTCCCAGGGCAACATTACTGCTTGCTAAAACCACAGCTGAAATAATGTTATGTTTCACTTTGTGGTAAATCGATAAGGAAATTCGCCTTCTCTTTTGTTGGATACCTGAGCCCTGCCATTCTGCTGCTGTTTATTGCCTGGCATTCACTGGGAAATTAAAGGCTCCTATAATTGCACAATTTCTGCTCTGTATTCTTCTTGTAGCCTTAGAGACAGCACAGCGTACGCTCATGGCCGTGCCTGGTATGCAGCCGGCCCCAGAACAGCCAGCCAGGGCCCTTCTGCTGCCCTTTCTCAGGACAGAACCATGCTATGGTGTCTCTAGTTTAACCTGAGAAGATGCTGCTTAGGTGACAACGGAGCCATAGGCTGCTGGGACAAACGGGCTTAGCACCTCCCGGCGTAATGCTGGGGAGGCCATGAGCCCATGGGAAAATGCCACGTGGGGTGAACGGAGTGTGGCTGGAAGGCTCACTCAGGAGGTGAGCTGAGAGGTTGTGAAATCGTGATCTTATCAGTACTTGGGGACAGGCTGCGTTCCCAGGTGAGCACTGGGAACTGCATCTTTAAACAGCTTATTTTTAGAGACGGGAAGCGTGTGGAGAAGCGGCGAAAAACGCACTCGCGCTGTTACCTGGAGACAGCTGGGGCTTGTCCTGGAGAAAGGAGCCCTGCCAAGCACCTGGGGGCAAAGGGATTCCTACATGGTACTTGTTTGCTATGACAAGGTTGCACAGGCTTAAAAAAGCAAGGGTAGCAGCTCAGGCCACGCAGCTTGAGAGGGTGTGTGCTTGGCAGTGTGAGTCAGACACCCTGACAAGCGCGACGCCTGCAGCCCAGCTCAGGTCTCCTGAGGTGCACGCAGCACACACGTGGTGCTGTGCACTGAAGATGCGTGGACCAGATGAGGTCTGTCTGTGGAACCTCAGGACACAGCCCTGCACTGGGACATGGAGTGTGCATTTCTAATGCCTCTGGTTGAGTTTAGTAGGGTGAACGCACTTGGCTGGTTAAAAATACGAGTTAAGTGTATGATAGATAGGATCATAACCAGTGGGACAATGCACAGTAAATGCATGAGGAACTAGCTCAGGCTGTGCTTGAGCTTCTTAGGCTTTGAAGCCTGGCTATGGGGCAGCCAGACCACTTCGGTCCATTTTCACAAGTGAGCACGGTGCTGCCGACTATCTCATGTGACTAAAGGGACCTGCAGGATGTGTCTGGCTGTGAACTGTAGCTGCCACCAGGGGACAATGAATAAGTCAGTGTCCTTCAGGTGCTGCTGGAGTCAGACTCTAAAGAAGGCAGTGCTATTAAAGGCCTGGATCAAAGGAGTAGGTCAGAGCGGGACAGGATCTCTGGAGCACCAGTAGCAACTGGGGGAAGGGGTGACAGCAGCCAGCAACTCTTGCTGCTATGGACAACTGCTCCCTTAATCCCCGTCTCTATCAACATCTCTAAACATCTCCGTGCAGGAGCAAGGTTGCTGAAGCAGGGCTCGGTTTTGTCTTTGCTCCCTCTTGTACTGCTTTGGCTAGCAGCTAATTCCTAATTGTAGGCTCTGGAGAAGTTGCCTCTCTTGGCTGTCCGTCCCTCAGAATTTGCTGTTGGGCCCCCTGTTCCCTGTAGCCTTCCTCCTGCTGCATAAAACATGTTTCTATTAGCAATCATCTTGTTCTTAGCAAGCTGCAGTTCGAAAATGATTTTGGCTGGCCTAAATGTGTGGCGGGTTTTTTATTTAACTTGCCAGAATTTGGGATTTTCTCTGCTTAATCTTTGGCCACAACTTACACTTGTTGAAGGATGTCTTTTTTACTTCAGAATGCCTTCTTCATCAGCTGTGCATCTGTGCCATATTTGGAGATAATTCTTCGTTAGCATATTTTGACTGATGGCATATTTGAAGCTTTAAACACAGGGTCTCGGTGTCACTCACAAGCATTTTGTCCTTTCATCAGCTACTTTAAAACCCTTCTTTAATTATTTCCCAAATTTTCTACTTGCTGCCTTCTGAGGGAGAATGCACCCATCTCCTTTATTCCAGTTGCATCGCACTGCGTAGTACTTTTGTTCTCGCTTTTCCTCCGGGCAGTGATGAATTTGAGCACATTGTATTTGCTATGACAGAGTTACTGTTCACTCTTACATTTCTAACTGCCTCCCATGCACTGCCCATGACTAACTCAAGAGTTCATTCTCTACTTGGTGCCTCTGAGAGGTCGTTCTAAGAACCATTCAAGGCTAAAAATACAGTCTTTGCATCATTCTTTGACACGGCACCCACCCAGTCTATTGGGG